AATACCATATGGAGCCGAAGAACCACCCAGCTGAGCCCAGTCCAACCCCACAACAGCTGGGGATGATCAGATGCCACTCTTTGCAGGCTCAGAGTTTGGGGGGCACTTGGGGAACCAGGGCTTTGCAGTTGCTGAGCCTGTCACTGTCGAACATTCTCCCAGGTGTTCCATGATTGTCCCTTTGCTGGTTCATATGCCACCTTGGCGAGGTCCCAAGAACTCCCTGCCTAAGATGGCCCCTGCCTTCCACCATGCTCACCTCCTAGTCCTGGGTTTTTGTCTCCTTGGCAGCTGACGCTCCATCTTGCCTGAATTTGTTCATGCAATGGTGGTCCCTCCCTCTGGGGATGTCCACTCCATGAGGGTGGGACTTGGGTTCTGTTCCCTGAGGTACCACTGCACTGGCATGGAGCAGGGCATCTATGACTCTGTGAAAATCGTGAATGGATAAGGTCCTGGCCTTTCCCAGTCCCCAAGTTCCCCTCAGAGCTCTCTGCGCACAGGCTGGGCCCACAGAGGTCCTGGCACCTGGTAGACCCTCCATAAGTCATGGGAGGTTTACCAAGGAGTTCTTCCCCTACTGGAAGAAAGGGCGTTCTGGTTTAGGATCCCAGGTGCCTCAAAGGTCTTTCCCGGCTGACAGGAGCGCCTGGTGGAGTGGGGAGGGACTGATAGCTCTCCTTCCCCTCCCTGACCAAAGCCCAAGCCCTGCATCCCTCTCCCTGCTCATGTGTGGAGACTCTTGACCCCTGGAAGGCACAGTGTACCCTGGGCACCTCCTCCAAGCATGGGCATGCTGGTTGCCATGGAGATGGGGCCTTGTTTGGTGACCCCAGACTGGGCGGGCCTTTGGGAACCTTTAACTATCTTTCCTGGGTGAGGTGCAGGGAGCCACATCCTACCTCATGAGTCAGTCCCAAGGTGCTCGGCAAGGCAGGTCCTAAAAAGGCTTGGCACGGACACCCTGTTGGCTCCTCTTGGATGCTTAGAACCCACTCCCTTCACACTGGTACTCACTGGACCTGGGGACATCCAGACCCAGGGGGAAATTTGACACCTGCCACAATCCATACCATCCTGGTCTTCTCTCTGCTTGAGGCTGTAAAACAAGATGACATCCACCTGGCCAGACACACAGAGCAGGACGTAGGACACACAGACATAGCATAGGTCAAAAGTAATAATCAGGCACAGCTATGTGCCAGATCCTACGTCCAGAGCTGAGGATAGGGGTGGGCCTGGGGGGACAAACAGGTCTGACCTCTGGCGTCAGTTTAATGGAGAAAAGAGGCTCTCACCAAATAATGCTGTAGCCACTGAGTGACTTGCACCTACTTTTTATTTTTTATGCTTTGGTACTGGAGATTGAACCCAGGGATGCTTCACCACTGAGCCACACCTCCAGCATTTTTTTTTTTTTTCATTTTGAGACAGAGTCTTACTAAGTTACTGAGGCTGGCCTCAAACTCACGATCCTCCTGCCTCAGCCTCCTGCATTGCTGGGATTACAGGCATGTGACACCCTGCCTGGCTCCTTTTTATTTTATACAGTGATTGGATCACTGCCTGTGAGGTAGAAGAAAACAAAAAATAGGTAGGAAGGAGACAAAAGGAGATTATGACTTCATTCTGAAAGGCTTGGGCTAAAATTCCTAACACCGTCATTGCCAGGAGTCCCCCTAGCCCTAGTGCTCCCAAATTTCTAGGAAATCTACAAATCTTTAATCACAATTTTAAAGTTAACTGGAAACTCACCCTTATGAAAATTTGCCTCGTGCCCTGTTAGTCCATGAATACATGTATTTTTAGAATAGATCCAGCAAAAGGCAATTCAAAACTTACAATTCAGGACACTTTCCCAGTGATATCTACTGATCAGTTAATGGGGAAGACTCAACCCAAGGCACCTGGAAATCGCCAAACCACTATATGGTCTTTTGGTCACCAGACTCATCCCTACACACCTTCCCTTGCCCACTCTCAACAAATTTCCTGTAAAAGAAGAGCCCGAGACTCCAAAAGCCCTTCTCACCCTGGAGATGGCCCACGTGCTCCCTTGAATGTGTACTTCTCGCTTTCCTAAATAAACCTCTGTGCTTCGATATCTGAAGGGTCTAGAAATTCTTTTCCATCACGTATATCAAGGACCCTGATATCTGGAGATGAAGTCCCCCTCTCCGGGACCTGGATGGACCCCCTCCAGGGAGGACACTACTTGTAGAATTAATTTACATCCCAAACTGGTTCGTTGATCTTTTTTTTCTCCCTCTGTGGGGCTGGACATCAACCCAGGGTCTTACTGGGGCCACAGCCATTGGGCCACCCCTCAGACCACGTTGATCAAATCACCAAGGCTAGAGAACCTCAGGCTGCGCGTGCTCTGTGCTCCTCTGTCCTGTGTTCACTTCCTCCTGTCTCCCAAGGTTCTTGGCAAAGGCCAGTCTTAGGATTCTGTTGGGAGGGGACCCGCAGGAGGAAGAGGAGGAAGGAAAACTCTGACCCCCGCTGGACCACAGGGGCAGGGGCCGGAGCAGGGAGCCCCATTAGAATGGCTACTACTAACCCCAGTTAGAATGGCTACGATCAAAACACAAAAATTAACAAATGCTGACAAGGACGTGGAGAAAAGGATCTCTGTGTGCTGTTGGGGATGTATGTTAGTACAGCCAATGGGGAGAAGGGTATGAAGGACCCTCCAAAAGCTAAACAGGGAACAAAGCATATGACCCAGCCATCCCACTCCTGGGTATATATTCAAAGGAAATGAAATCAGCATACCAAAGAGACACCTGATGCCGTGTTTCTTGTGGTACTATTCACAGTAGCTAGGAGTCAACCTAGGTGCTCATCAGTGGACCAATGGGTAAAGAGAATGTGGTATATCTACACATAATATTTTATTCAGCCATAAAGAAGAATTAAATCCTGTCATTTTCAGCAAAACCGGTGGAACCAGAGGACAGAGGACACAGCCACTCTGTCTATGGTATATATGGTGACATAAGCCAGACACAGAAAGACAAGCACCAGATGTTTCCTTATATGTAGAGGGAGTAGCCGGGTGCAGGAGCGCATGCCTGTAATCTCAGCGGCTCAGGAGGCTGAGGCGGGAGGATCACAAGTTCAATGCCAGCCTCAGCAATGGCGAGGCACTAAGCAACTCCATGAGGCCCTGTCTCTAAATAAAATACAAAGTAGGGCTGGGGATATGGCTCAGTGGTTGAGTACCCCTGAGTTTAATTCCCAGTACCGCCTCAAAAAATTAAAAAATGTGTGTGTGTGTGTGTGTGTGTGTGTGTGTGTAGAGGGGTGTAACCTCAGTGGTAGAACACTTGCCTAGCATTCACGAAGCCCTGAGTTCCATCCCTAATACTGCAAGAAAGAAAAAAAAAAGAGAGAGAGAGAGAAATATCACACAGAGCCTAGTAAAATCTACAATTACTACATGTTAATCAGAAAATTAAAACAAGGAAAAAAAAAAGGTTCTTCTCATCTGGGGCCTTGGCTGAGGCTCACCCCAGGTTAGCACCCTTTCAGCCACCGCTGGGCCTCGGCAGCTCTTCCCTGGAATCTAGTCCTGGCTTAGGCCCCTGTACTCGGGGGCAGAGTCCATCCCTGATGAGAGACACCATTTTAAAACTTGGAAAATCTTCAGCATTCTGCTAGTGTGCCTGAGTGAAGGGTCGGTCACAGAAAATCCACTGGGTAATTATCGGATGTTGACTGGAATATTTTACTTTGGAAGCACGGGGTAAGCAACAGTCGACCCCGTTCAAGTGTTTGTGGATCTTGATCTTCCCAACCACCAGAACTCTGAGAAATAAATCTGTGCTGTGTTTAAGCCGCTCTGTCTATGGTATTTTGCCACAGGAGCCGGAATGGTCTAGGACAGTATTAGGATGGCCTTAGGCCTGAGCCTAAGCAACTCCATTTAAAAAACCCTGCAGTCTCTCCAGGCACACCCACAGAGCCCTCCAGTATGGCCACAGACAAGTCACTTCCCCTCACCCTGATAAACAGAGTGAAGCCCCTGGCAGGCTGTCTTCGCCTGATAAGAGGGAAAGGCGAGAAGATCAGGGTGGAGCCACCAGACCCCATGTTTCTGACCCCAGGATAAATGATGTCACTGAGAAATCCAGTGGTAACTGGTAAGGATTGAAAGGGGGGTTCAAAGCCCCAAAATTTAGAGCAAATGAGCAGGGATTCAGCCAGCTGAAACAAATATGCACTCGAGCTGGAGAGCCTGATGAGGATATGACATCCCATCACTTGTCATCGTTTCTGAGCCTCTGCATGATCCTCACCGCTCTCAAACTCTACCGCCTCGTCTGGACCTTGGTGAGAGCTGCAACTCCTCCCTACGACCCCCTCCTCAACCAGTCGTCCACTCCATGCCAGGAAAAGCCTGCCTTGGTTCCGGACCTGGTCACCGCGGTCTGAGTGAGTGTGTATCTGTTGGACATAAAGCCTAAGGCTCAAGACTTCTGAACTCAGCATGCAGAGGGGATGTCTGTCATGAGCCTGTCATGATGAAGTGTGTTTGCAGTGCTTAGAATTAATCTAGAATTGTTTGCTGTGGAATTGATTATGTCAATTGCAGTGCCTAGCATTAAGGATTGTCATTTTCTTGATTAAGAACCTATAGAGTGGGCTGTGGATGTGGCTCAAGCGGTAGCGCGCTCGCCTGGCATGCGTGCGGCTCGGGTTCGATCCTCAGCACCACGTACAAAGATGTTGTGTCCGCCGAGAACTAAAATAAAAACATTAAAAAAAATTCTCTCTCTCTCTTTAAAAAAAATATATTTAAAAAAAAAAAGAACCTATAGAGTGAAATTGTATTGAGTAATTTGAGTGAATAAAGCATTGAAAGGGGCAAAAGTACGTGGACACTCTTTATTTCTCCCCTCGACTGCATACGTCGCAATTTTGGCCCCTTGCCACAGATAGTTAGCCTCCCTCCTGCCCTCATGCAGGATCTGCCCAGAGAGGGTGTGCGGCATATGGCTGAGCCACAGGAAGACCAGTTGGTAGAAAGTACCATGGGGACATTGAGAAAGAAGGGCGTCATTCTGTTTGAAGGTCAGGGAAGCCGGCTTGAAGGATTTTGCAGAGGCTTCCAAGAGGAGCTGGAATCTGGACTTGGTTTTGTAGAATGGGTGGGGGATTTCTCCTTGGAGAGGAGGTGCTTCCCGGCTGGGGAAGGGCACACGGCGGGCTCAGATGTCTGAGGAGCCCTGGGTGCCTCAGGAAGGAAGCAGCAGTGGGCTGGGGGAGCCTTTAAGTTCCTGGTGGCCAGGGAAGGTCAACCTCTTCCCACCTCCCTGAGCTTGAGGTGCCCGCCCAGGTGGGCGCGGCAGGATGGGCCCTGGGGCAGCCCAGGTGGCCTCCTCCTCTGAGGCCTCTCCCAGGCCAGGCCCTCCTGGAAGTGGGGTGGGGGTGTCTGGGCTTGCCTCACCCCAGCAACCAATCCTTCTCTTCAGACCCCACCCTGGTGGGGCCAAATCCACAGAGGCCTGCAGATTCTGCCCCCAAACCTGTCGGACCAGTTCTATGGGAGGAGGGGGCACCCAGGAGGGGCAGCTGAGATGGAAGGAAGCAGCCTCCCCCGGCCCAGCACAGACAGCTGCAGACACTGCGGACAGAACTCTGCATGGACAGACCTTAGGATGCTGGGCCTGGCCGTGAGGCTCAGAGGGGTACAGTCCTGGTGGCTGGTCCTACTGTTACTGCAGCTTATTGGTGTCCCGCCGGGGACAGGCCTGGGTGAGTGAAGCCGGGGACTGAGGCAGGGGTGCCCACAGAGCCTCAGGCTTCGGGGAGGTAAGTCTCCTCCCTGGCTGCCCTTCCCTGCCTCCCTGGTCTGGGGACTGGGTCCTGCGTTGGTCTGGGAAGAAGGACCACCTAAAGCAGTCACAGACCAGCACCTGCCCCTCTCCCCAGGACTGAGGAGCAACAATGCTTGCTCTCTTCCTTTGGGGTTCCCATGCCCGAATTCTTAAATGGTTCTCCTCCTCCTCCTTCTTTCGATATGGTAACCCAGGAGCTCAGGTTACCCCTGCAAACCCCAGGAGGCCCTCGAGGATCCCAAACTAGAAGGGCTTAGAGATACAGTCACCCTCATCTCTGCTGCTCTATTTCTCTCCCCTAGTTGTGCAAACATTAAGTTCCTATTGTATGCAAAGTCTCCTGGGCCTCTGAGAGAGTATTGAGGGCCTTGAGAAAGAAGGAATCAAGCACCCTCCCAGGCTAGAAGGTTCTGGAAGGTTCTAGTCCAAACCTGTGCAGTTGATGTAGTGGCAGTGAGACATAGTGAACTGGACTGGAGGGGTGGGTGGCTGAGACCCGTATGAGAGCCCACTTGGTCTTTCTGCTTGTGTCAGTATTTGGGGCTGGGGAGCTAAAGGCACTCAGGGAGGAGGGAGGGGGTCCAAGCCCCCCAGCTGCAAGGCTAGACACAGGCCACATTGCCAATCCTGAGTCACCTCTGGCATTGGAGGCTGTGAGGGGAGCCCAGAGGGGGTGGAGGTCCCGGAGGAGAAGGTGTCTTGGGGTCTCAGTGGGAGGTGACGGGAGTTGGAAGAGAACTGGGTAGAGAAGAGAGGAATGTTCTAGACTCAACCAGCTTCAGGCCCCAGAGCCAATGGTCCCCACAGGAGGGTTATCTCTGGGTCTCAGTGCAGGGGACCTTTGTGCGTCAGCTCCTCACCCTCCCAAGCCATCCATTTCTCCCATCAAACAAACCAACCTGGACCAGGTAGATAGAGATGGAGGGGCTCCTCTGGCTACCTGGAACGTCAGGAGCAGTGTCTAGCCCAGGGCTCGGTCCCCCAGACGTGAATCTCACCCCAGCAAGGCCCACACCTGGTGGGGGAATGCTGTGTGCTTCGGTCTGCTCTTCCTGGATGCTGCCAATCACACGGAGACCCACAGGTGGGAGGAGGACATGGCCTTCCCTCCCAGCTCCCACAGTGCCCACCCTTAGCAGGCTCCTAAGGGAGGCTGGACTCAGGCCACCTGCCCATGGCCCATGGGGCACAGAGTTGCCAGGGAGCCCTTCTGAGCACAGCCCGACCCGACCTCCCAGGAAGAGCCCCTATCTCTGTCAGACCAGGGCTGCCCAGACAGGCCTGTGTCTCCCCCTCAGACCGGGCGGTTGCCCTGTTCAGGCTCCTGCATCCCCTCCCCTGTGCCCTTCCCAGAGCACATCAGCTACATGCCCCGGCTCTCCAGCGTCACCCTGGCCGGGAAGCTCACACAGTCCACCTTCACGCTTGAGCAACCACTGGGCCTGTTCGATGACCTCAATATCTCTAACTCGGACCCCATCTGGCTGGTGGTGGCCCACAGCAACGGTGGGTACCACGGCCACCAGGCCTTGGTTTTCCCCTGTGCAATGGGCAGGCCTGGGTGGGGAGCAGCAGGAGTGAGGGAAAGCTGGGGACACAGGAGCTGTGGGGGGTGTGGCCCGGGAGGGTCGTCTGCAGGCCTGGTGGCACAGGGCTGGAGTCCTGACTGGCCATGTCACCTTCAGCCATCCAGAACTTCACTGTCCCACAGAAGACAAAGGACATTCCTGCCCCCGCTAACTTCTCCCAGAAGGGCTACTACCTCACACTGAGGGCCAACCAGAAGCTCTACCGGCGTGGTGGCCAGGCCAGCAAGCAGCTCCCTGTCCTCCGTGTGGGCAATGATACACACTGCTCCTGGACAAAAGTGGGCTGCAATCACCCACTGCAGGGCTCGGGACCCTACAGGTGAGGGGAGCTGCCAGGTCCCGGCTGAGCTGGGGATGCTCCTGCCTGGGCCAAGCCGGACCCTGACAACTTCCGGTGGGACACCTGGGTTCCCTGTTGTACCAGTAGGAGTGTGAGGCGGGGAGAAGGGGCTGGGGATGCCTCAGTGAATCCTCCTATCTTTTTGGAGCAATGGGCCCCCAATGTAAGCCCCAGTTCCCACTGGTGGTCTGGGACTCAGGGCTGGATCGATCATTTTCTCCCACACATTCTGCATGTCCAGGGCATTATGCTCCTCAGTCCCGTCTCCCTTCATCAACTGCTTGATTCACTCATGTTTAGGGCTGAGAGTCTAATTCACCCCCCACACATTTCTCAAAGGGCACAGGTCCAGAGAAGGAGAAGATGCATCCAAGAACACACAGCCAAATGTGAACTCCTCTTGGGCTCTGAGGCTGTGCTATTTAGCCCAGGCCCCATTTTCCCACCCCAGGATGCTCTTCCTATGCCTGGGAGTTGAGGGGAGCAATTGTCAGGCACCAGGGTCCGAGGGTTTCAGAACGCAAGGGCTCCACCCCCAATACTGGGTTTGCTGTTAGGGTGAAGTTCCTGGTAATGAGCAAGGAGGGACCTGTGGCTGAGACAGAATGGTCCAAGGAGACCCGCCTGCAGCAAGGTAGGGGGCAAGATGAGCAGCTTAAATGGTAGGGGCTGGGGGCTCCTAGAGAGAGCGGGGGGCCTGGGGCACTAGGCCAGACCCCGTCAATCAGAGGCATGTTGCTATTCTGCCGGCTGCAGGTGCTCCTTCTGGCTCAGGTGGAGGGTGGTTGGTCCAGAGGCTGTGTGTGCAAGGGCCCCCTTCGCAGGTCAAATGAAGTCCTCTTCCTATGTGGCCCATCATCCTCCCAGCCCAGGTATTGCAAGCTGTTATGGGGCCCCAGAGTGCAGGCACAGTGGTCATCATTGCCATCCTGTCGGTCCTGCTGGCCATCCTCCTGGCTGCTGTCCTCATCATGCTCACACAAGCCTAGTGAGTAGACAGGGCTGGGACCACCTCCCAGGGCCCTCTGCTGGGGTGGTTTTCCTTAAAGGCCAGACAGGGCTAACAATAAATTGTGCACGGGATCCCTGAGGTTCCAGAACCCCTGGGTTCTGAGCTAGTGATCCATCCTTCCTGCTGGGAACGCACCTGAGCGGGATGGGAGTGAGTGTGCATTATCCCTTCCCTCCGTGCCCTCTTTGCTCCACACCTACCCACTTTCCGAGCTGGCACTGCTCGCCCCCTGGTGGCAGATTTTGATTTTGGTATTGCGAGCAGACAAGGCGACACCCTGGGAAGGTAGATTGCTTTCAGCACGTGCTGGGAGTTGCTTCAAGATTTCGTTTGGAGCTCAGAGGCTGGGACTTGGCAGAGAGGGGGCGTCTGTAAGGTTTCCCTGAGAAAAGGAGACACCTTTCCTGGTGGTATTTGGGGTGGCAGGGAGGTGGGGAGGCTTCGGGGCAGGAGAGTGGCAGGCAGGTGAGATCAGGGGCTGAGTCAGGGGCTGCATCTCACAGGCCCCCGGGAGCCAGGGTGGGGGGACAAGGTTCTAGAGGGATCCTGTTCGATGTTGTGGGGCACCAGGCGACGGCTGGGATTGCAATCAGGCGCTTTGTTCGCCATCCTCTCTCCCTCTCTGTCCACCCAAGCTGCGAAAGCTGCAGGAACGTTCCCGTTTCGATCCCAGAGGAGCCACTGAGCATGGGAAGATACAGCACCCACCACATGGGCGACCCTTCAGCTGTGGGGGGCTCCTGAGCCACTCCAGGGGCACCTGGCTACCTCTCGGCCTCCTGCCTGGACCAGGCTGCACAGCCCCGAAGCTTCTGGATCCTAGAGAGGTGGCTCTAAATGATGGTGGGGTGTGTGTGTGTGTCCTTACCCCAAAGCTTGGACCAGTCCCTGGCAGAAATAAATACCCCGACCCCTTCCTGCTCGACTACAGCACCCTGCACCCAGGCAGGCTTCCTGTGCCCCCGGGTCCGGCTCTGTTCGGAAGGCTCTGGGGTCGGGGGCAGGACCAGGGCTGAGGCTTAAGGTCCAAGGCCAGCTGTCACCCAGGCCAGAGCAAATCTCTCTTTGAGCCTCCGTATCTGTAATGTGTGATAGTGACGATGGCCTCCCTGCCCAGCCACACTCCTCCTACCAAAGGTCCCACACAGCAGGTCCAGGTGTGCTGTCCATCACCCCCACGTCCTCCTGGTGGCCCCTCTCCCCAGCTGCCTCTCCTCCTGGATGGAGGATTGAGAGCCACCCTCTTCCCCTTCTTCCAGTCCCCCAGTAGGTCCAACTTCGAAACTTTGTGCCCACCTTAGTCCATACTTCCAGGTGGGGCAGCGTGGGACGGGGTAGGGGCAGGAAGTGTGTGTGAAGCTGTGGTTCCCGAGAGCAGCCTGACTCAGCCCAGAGCAGACCCCACCCCAACCTAACTCAGGGCACCCACAGCTGCTGGCCGTCAGCCATGCCTCGTGCCAGGCACTAAGGGGGCCAGAGATGGCCCAGGTAATTCTGTCCTCCAGGTGTCCCCTGCTGTCAGGGGAGGATAGTGACACCCAGGTGTTGGAGAGCCATCCTGGTGGCTCCCTTCCTGGGGGAGGTGTGACTTTGGTGGAGGAACAGGACACCTGTGCCAGGTGGACACTGGCAGGATGCCCAGACAGGAGCCACATGGCGCTGCCAGAGGGCAGGCTGGGGACAGCGCGAGCCGAGGGAGGGTGTCCAGGGAAGGAGGGGAGGCTGGGAGGCACCTGGTGCTACGTGCAGGGCCCTTGCCCTCTGAGACAGAAGATTAGGGAAGGAGGGCTGGCTGGGTTCCCAGGTGCCTTCCTCTGTGACCTGCAAATGTCCCTAAGTGGTTTATTAGCTGGAGCAGACACATCCGGCTCCTGCAGCGGAGGAAATGCTCAAGTGACCGTGGGGCAATCAGCCAGGGAGGGGCAGTAGGGGAGGGGACCATCTCCTCTCCATGGCCTCTCCAGGACGGTTATGAGCCCTGGCCTTGGGGCTGGGTGACCCTGGACAGGTCACTTTCCTGGGATGGGCCTCAGTTTCTCCTTAGGTGAAAAGCCAAGGTTGAGTGGCCCAACCTGGAGGGCCTGGTAGCCGATAGACCTTTCCCCACGCCCTGTGTGGGCCCGGCCCTGCAGGAAGCAGATGGCATGTGTCCCAAAGGGCAATTGAGAGCATTTGCAAAGGTGTGGGCAGCCTTAGGGGGAGCAGCAGAGGGGTGATCCAGCCTGTCACCAATGGAGTCACATGCACTCTGGAACTGAAGGCTCCAGAGGAAGGGAGGAAGGGAGTGGCGTTTCCAGAGCCAGCAAACAGTAGCCACGGGCCGGAGTCCACTGGGCAGGAGCAGAGGCTATAGGTAGAGGGACAAGGCCACTGGAGAAAGCTGGGTAATAAATGCCCGGCACTGTCCTGCCTTAGCCAGAAACAAGGTGGTAGGGGTGCGGGGGTTTGGTCAGGCTCCTGGGCACAGAGCAGTACAGAGAGGGGCAAGAGCGGATGTAGAAGGCATGGGACACCTGGGAGACTCTCCTCTGGAACAGAGTCTTCCCACCTTCCTGTCTCCAGCCTGACACAAGGACAGAAAGATGGCCACGAGGTTCTGTTCCAGTCAGAGGGCTGCTGAGGCTGGGTGGGGCATTCAGAGGGGACTCTGCAGGGACTGACCCTTGAGTTCTAGAGGACAGGGGTCTTGGCCAGCTGGAGAAGCGGTGGCCCCTGATGACCCTTTATCCCCTTCCTGGGAACCAGCCCACAGGCCTCAGGAATGGGAGGTAGGGCCTGAGTCCGCCCTGCTCCTTGTCCCGTCTGGAGTGACTGTCCCAGGATGGGTGCTTGTGCTCCCTCCACCCCGCCCACCCCTGTCCCTGGTGGCCACCCATGTCCTGGGCCTGCACCTGGTCCGTGGGAGGTGTGGGTCCCCTCCATCAGCCCCCGTCCCTGCCACTCACTCTTACGCTGCCTCAGCCTCTTCCATGGGTATTAATGACCCCCGTCTGTCCTCTTATCTGCCTCATATGTCCTTGGTGCCCTGGCCACCCTGGACAGCCCAGAGGCCCCTCGTGCTAACACGCCACTCCACAGCCCAGCCTGGAGCTGCCCAGCCTTGGGCCTCCCTGGCGCTCCTGGTTCTCCAGGCTTCAGGCTGGATGCTGGCAGACCCAGGTCACCTGTGTCCCTGACCCCACGCTCTGCTTCCTACCCTAGACACAGCCTGTGTATAAGCCTTAAGCCACCTGCTCAGGACCTGCCCGCTGCTGAGCCCAGAGGCGGCCTGGGTGGAGAGCAGGCTCAGCGTGCGTGGGATGTGGGGGTTCTCCAGCCCGAGGGGAGATGCTGGCCGCAGATGCTGGTTTCTCTGGGCTCTTCTGGGGCTTGAGAGTCGAGGGAGGGGTCTGAGTCTCAGCGCCCGGTCCTACCAACCCACCGGCCATCCTCCCCATGCAGCCTCAGGTCCAGAGCCAAGTCCCAGGGGGCCATGGGGGAATGAACGCCCCAAGAGGGTGATGTCGGGCCCCAGCCTCGGCGTCCAGCCTCACCCACCTGGGCTTCAGTCTCTTTGCCCCAGGAAAGGGATGGATGGGATGAGCAGGACTCTCTGTCTGCCTCTGGCCCTCAGGCCACTGGGTCCCTCCCCACTCACTCTTTCCCACTGACAGCAGACGGTTCTAACCCTGTTGGGCACTGGGCCACGTGTTCCCAGCTCAAGGCCATCCCCCACCCTCCTCCGTGGCAGCTGGTCATGCGCAGAGATACCACAGGACCCTGCTGGCTGGTCCATGCCACCTGGGGCTGCCAGGAAGAGGGGCACTAGGCCTGCTGGAGCATCAGAGGTGTCCAGGCACGTCTGGGAGGCACCAGGCCTGGGGACCCTGCAGGGCACCTCCTCAGGTCATCAGGGGCCCATGGACACCGGCTCCCACCTACTGACCACACGGTGCAGCTCTACGGGCCTTCTCAGCCCTCCAACTCACAGGGGGACCCACTTGGGAGCATAGGCTTGGGGACAATGATTTTGAGTGGTGAAGTGATGTCCTATGAACCAAGTGTCTCCTGACATCATCCTGGTAAATGGACAACTGGGAAGCGCAGGGACCCCGCCTCTCTTCCTGCCTCCTTCTGTCCCTGTTTTCCCATCTCCATGTGTGGGGTTGTGTGTCCCCTGGGGTTATGTTTCTCGCTGTCCCTTGTCCCTATTTTTTTTTTCCACTGGGGATTGACCCAGGTGCTCTCCCACTGAGCTCCACCCCCAGCTCTTTTATTTTGAGGCAAGGTCTTGCTAAGTTGCCCAGGTTGGCCTCAAACTTGGGATCCCCCTGCCTCAACCTCTGCAGTAGCTGGGGTTGCAGGGGTGTGCCACCACGCCCAGCTTCTTGTCCCTCTTTTTAAGCCTGACCAGCCTCAGAAACACCTTTCGCTTCCAGAAGGGGAGCTTTCTGGGCCAGTCCAGGCGTGGGCCTGACCATTTCCCAGCATACGCCAGCTCCAGGCAGATGGTGGCTTTCCCTTCCGCAGGGAAGGGAAAAGCAGGGGAGAGGGGAAAAACACAGTAGAGACAACAGGGACAGAACAGGTGTCAGGGACAGAAACGTCACAATCCATTGCCCCAAATCGCAGGTACAGAAGTAAAGAGAGGGTCACCCCGGACCCCTTTCCCTGCTGGCTCTGCTTCTAAGCGGTCTGCATGCCCACCCCCAGACTCCCTGCTCTCCCAGGATAGGAGTGGGGTGCATCTCGACCCCCTGCCCCACCACGGACACTTGCACCTCCTATTTGGCCTGGGAGTTGGCCCACACAGAGGGGTCTGGCGGTCCAGGCAGGACCGCGTGGCCTGGGAAGAGTCAGCTGACCAGGTATCTGGGGGCAGGGTACTTTCTGGTCCGGCCCCACCACAGTAATCTTGAATGGGACTATTCCCACCTTGGGGCACAAGGATGCACGGGGTGCTTGTGTGTGTGTGTGTGTGTGTGTGCGTGCACATGCGTGAGCGCCAGAGATTGAACCCAGGGGCACTTGACTACTGAGCCACATCCCCAGCACTATTTTATGTTATATTTAGAGACAGGGTCTCACTCGGTGGCTTAGTGCCTCAATTTTGCTGAGGCTGGCTTTGACCTCTCGATCCTCCTCTCTCAGCCTCCCCAGCTGCTGGGATTACAGGTGTCATCTGTGCTCCAGGCAGGGGTATATTTTCAAAGTGGGGTCTCCCAGGAGCCCAGCCACCCTGCTATGGGACCCCTTCTCTGGGAGGAGAGCCCAGGCCTCGGGTGTGAGCCTTTATTCAGGAGCGAGTATACGAGCCTGCTGGAGACAGGGTGCATGGAACCAAGGTGGCCAGGGGAGCTCCCAGGGTCAGGACTGGATCCTGAGGGTCCTGGGAGCCCTTGAGGGGTTTTTAGCAGGACATAAGAGCCCATTGGAGGGTAGAGGTGACTGGGAGGGGCAGGGCCCTTCATGGGAGGCAGGGATGTCGGGCTCTCTCACTCGGGCTGTGTGGGGACTCCCTGGGGACCTGACTGGTGGAAAGCCCCCTCCTAGGACAATTTCCTGCCTGGCCTCTGATGCCCAGATCTCTGACCCCAGCAGTCCTGGGTAGTCTCCAATCCCACCTCCAGCTTCCTCCATGGGAGGATGAGGCTGGGCATTTCTATTCTCTTTCTGGAAGGTTCAGCAGGTTAATGAGGGCAAAGCACGGAACTCCACTCAGGGGATGAACTTCTGGGAAGAGAGCAACCTGCATCTGGGCTGAGGGCCAAAGGCAGAGTGGGGACCGCACCTCTGGTCATGGACTATCCACCGACTGCCCCAGGGTCGCGACTTGGCCCCTCTGACCAGCCGCAGGCGAGTTTCTGTGAATGTCAGAGACACAGAATGGAGGCTTCTCTGCCTCCACAGTGCAGAAGAC